TTAAATATTTTTTGTAATAACTATATGTAATTAAGTTCCTCAAAAGTAATTTTTATAAAATTTGTGCTATTAATATTATCAGAATGAAAACATCAAATTTTTTGTGGTTTGATGTATTTGTTTTGTAGAAGTAGTAATGCAAAAGAGTCCTTCAGTATAGGATATATTTGATATTAATTTTAATATGTAGTAGCATAAGTTTTCTGAAATTTTAATATAAATTTTATTAAATAATATATTTTAAAATTATACAAAAGATATAAACTTAAATTAGAAATATGTAACATATATAACACTTTTTAATATCATAAAATTTGTATTGAAATTTTAGAAATATTTTATGCTTTGCTACACAAAAAATTTTAGTGATTGGTAGCAGACTTTTAAGAGTTACATTTTTCAGTCACTGAAAATTACACCTCAGGAGCGGCTTAAGAAAAAAATGCAAGCTTTATTAAATAGGCAATGTAAATAAAATTTATTATAATTTTTAACGAACATTATATTAGTATAATATTACAATTATATTTATATTTTAGATAAAGCTGATAAAAAAGCTGAACAACTTAGAATTGAGAAGATGGAACAACAGAGGCAAGATAGAGAAGATGAAATTCGAGAGATGTCTCTGAAATTACGTAGAAAGTATGCAGTTATTTTTATTTTATATATTTTATATTTAATTTAATATTACTTTCACTACTATTACTTGTATTACTGTATTATTACTGTTTAATTATTTTTATTTTAGACAAAGAGAACGAAGACATCGTTATGAAGGTCATAGTTCTGATTCACATTCCTCTGTATCGCGAACGCCAAGTCCTGGTCGCAGTCCGCGAATTGTACGTCGAGATAGAAAAGACAGAGACATGAGAGATTTCGAAAACGATCGTGAACGAGAAAGAGATAGAGAACGAGATAGACGTGATGATCGAGAAAAGTTTAGAACTGAATCTCGTAGAAGATACAGAGATTCACCACTTCGCTCTTTAAGCCCAAGAAATAGCCGGTAAAATTACAAATGGTCATTATAATACAATAAATTGAAATTAAAAGGGTTCATTAATATTTTTCTTATGTCATCTACTCTTTCAGAGGCCTAGTCGATTATTGACAAGAACGCATGCGGTTAATCTTCCATTTGATGGACTTAAAATTTTATTAGATACTTCCTGCATTGCATTCCTTCCATAAAACGCTATAAATGCTCTAAGAAATGCGATAAAGAAAGATATAAAACATATGATCATCATTTACAATTATCCTTTATTATTAACTATTATTGTTTAATCTTACATCATAAGAAAATAAATACAGTTGTTTATTTATGTCTTATAATTATTATTCAACATTGAATTCTGTCTTACAATTATACGATTTGATTTGAAATAAGTAACAATTTAAATAAACTTATATTTCAATTGAATAGTACTTTTGTTTATTGATTTAATTTCTTAAACATTTTCAAAATATTTAGTAATTTTTTAAAACATTTATGTTATACATTTATTTTAGTCTATAAAATATTTAATTTATAAATAAATTAAATGTTGTACAGTTCCAAAAATATGTAAAATCAATATTTTTAATTTTATATTTATTTTCAGAGTAAAAAGTTATTTTTTATTTTTTATAAATTCGATAAATTTGTAATACTATGAATGTTAAAATGATAGATAATATGTTTTCTTTATTTTATTTAATTTTTATAATTGAATTCTTCTAATAAAATCTTCCATTAAAAATAGTTCTTTTTTCATGACTTCAATTGTAATAAAATAATAAAATTAAATATATATATATATATATATTTTTTCCCTTTTATCCTTATATATTATTATATATAAGTTATTCGATTTGTCTTCAGTGGTATAATAAAGTTTTAGTATTACTCTTAATAATATTTATATTATTTAAATTGTCTACATTTTCTCTTTTTTATTTAATATAATACAGATAAGGTACAACTTGAAAAGAAGTATTTAATTCCATTTTTATTACAAGGTTAATACAAATTTAATAAGACAATAAAATATGCTTAAATAAAGAATAAAAATTTATATAGAAATAATATATTATTTTAAACTATTCTTTATCGATGAATAGATTAAAGTTCATATAAGCATATCCTTATTTTACACCATACCTCAAATCTATTAGTAACTAATATGGCGGAATAGATAGATGTTGACTTTTCAAGATCCGAATTTCTCGGATTCAAATATTTCCACAAAATTAAGTTTAGGAAGGAATAAGTTAACCGTTACATATTTATGTCATTATCGGTACGCGTTGTAATTATCATTGAGGTCACGTGTTGTGTACTTAATTGTACTGAGTATTATTAATAATAAGTGCGTATATTACCTATTGAAGCAGTCTACTTGGCAAACAACTGTAACTTCGATTCTTAACGTAGATGTATCATAAGCGTCATTTACAAGATCAAGAACTATACAATTTTTTTAATTATTTTGATTTTAAATAAAGATAATACGACTTACGTAATGAGAGTGTTAATATCAATTTTATATATTCCATCGAAGGGTTAAGAGGTGCGTTTATTATTCAAAGTTCAATATATTAAAGAATGCTTATAATTGTATAACGTATTCAATTAAAAAAAATTAAATGTACTTAATGATGCAAATTTCGTAGTACTTTAATTCGTTTTAATATATCTATTATATGAATGTTTTATTAAAACGCATTTGTTATTACCACTTATTTATATTTTAAACTTCGAAGTTATGACAACAACACAACAATATTATTTGAAAAATTTTGAATCAACATAACTTTAAACTAAATTAAAACAGATTTTTAAAATATTAATTATAAACTTATTTTGTTATGAAAATATGAAATGTCAAATTTTACAGTGTTTTCTCAATTAATTGAACAAATTAGTTAATCTTTCAGAAACATGTGTGATTTAGCAAAGAAAATGAAAGATTCAAGTGTTAAGAACAATGTGCAAAATGAATCAACAGATGAGTTTTGTCAAAAACAAAGTGCCGATAAGAAAGAATCTATATTAAAAAGTACAAATGAAGATGTTCAACGAGCAATTGAAGGTTTAAAGGATATACCAGATGAGGAACTTCAAGAATTTCTTGACGATGAAGATTTTATGGAAGGGTTAGATGTTGTTGATGCTTGGGAAGGTGATGAAGAAAAAAGTCGTGAAGTTGAATATAAAACTACTCATAATAAGGATCAAGAACAAAAGCGTCTTTCTAGGTAGCATTAATAATATAGAATTTATATTGTTATAGCTATTTATTATATCACAGATATAAATGTGTTATATAATATTACATAATAATTACAAATTATTATAAAATATTATGATAATAAAATTTCATAGAGTCAATTTATAGCTTAGTTATATAGTTAATTTACTTTACATTAAAAAAAATTAAGTTCTTTTCTTTGAATAATTAGTAACAAACAGAAAGAAATGATTACAAGCCTACTTATAGGGAGAGATATCGGCGTGACTACAAAGGATCTTACAACCGTGAAAGGCCAAAGAGAGAAGAAAAGAAACATGAAGAAATCCGTCGAGATCCTTCCAAAAGCACAAAAGATATAGAGAGGGATAAGATACGTACAAAAAGAGATAATGAAAGTAAACTTTTGGCTGAAAAGGAAAAAGCTATTAAACATTTGCTAGACTCTGATAATGTTGTACCTCCAGGTACAGAAACTGAAGCCATTCAGAGCATCACAGAGAGACAAAATATAGATCAAGTACAGATGCATATCCGCAGAAGCCGAGAACGTCGTAGAAGTTTAGAACGTCAAAGAGGAAGCTCATTACGGCGTAGAACTCCAGATAGAATTAGATTAAATTCTCCTCGGCGAAAATCTCCGTTGATGTTAAGTCCAGAACGTTGCAGAAGTCCTTTCAAGATGAGTAATGAAAGGCATAGAAGTCCACTAAGATTTAGTCCTGACAAAAGAAGAAGTCCAAGATTTAATTGTACTCGTAGAAGTCCTTTTGGATTCAGTCCAGAACGACGAAGAAGTCCAATTAGACGACTTAGTTGGGAACGAAGAACAAGCACAGATAGAAGATGGAGCGCTGAGCGACACAGGAGACGTATAAATGTACATGAACGGTGAGAAGACAATATTTTTAAGCATATGTAACTGTTATATTATATTATAGAAATAAAAAATGTTTCCTATATAAATCTTTTTTGTAGAACAAGTTCATATAAAATCTAAATTTGATGTAAAGTTTTAAGCTTTCATTAAATTATAGTAAAAACTTATTAATGTTTTAACTTAATAAAATATAATTTAAACTTTAAATTGTCAAGCCGAAGAAGTCGATCTCGTGATCGACAACGAAGTCGCAGTATGGAACGACTTAGAAGAAAGGCCAGCCGTTCACCAATTAGTAGACGTTATAGTCCTCGCCGTCGAAGTCGAACTCGAAGCAGGTCGTTGGAACGTCGAAGGAAACGATCCCCCTTTATTAATGAACTTACAAGACAACTAAGAAGTGAAGCTATAATGACATCACATATGAATACTGGATATACGCATTCTTCGCCTATGGATGGCATATCACCTCTACTAAATAATGTATATCAGCAAGAAACAGAACCTAGACCATCAATATCGATGCCATCTTACATTCATCAAAGTGGATTAGCACCACCAATGCCATCAAATATAACTGGTGGTGCACCATTTATGAATTTTGAAAATTCATCTCAAACATTGAATTTTGATTCTGTACCATTACATTCATTACCTCAAACTGAATATGTATCTGGTCCAGTAATGTATAATCAACCAAATACGAGTTCAATTCAGCCAACACATCGACCAGCACTTCTTCCAGCACCAATTTCTTCACCACAACCTGAATCTGCTGCATCTACTGTGGAACATGTACAAGCATATAATTCATCACATGGTATTTCTTCCACTCGTCAATCTCCAGTTCAGAATTTTGAATTTTCAAATAAATCTAAGGATACAGTCTCTCAAAACTACAGGGACTGTAGATTTACAGATTCTTATAATGGATACCATGCTTCACAAGAAGAACGATTGAAGACTCCTGAACCACCAGTCATCTCAGATACAAAAGTAATTTTGTTATATATTATGACAAAAAGTTATTTTTTCATATAGCCATATATTTTATTCTGTATTATCAAAACAAGAAATATTACTTTGAAATTAATGAGTAATATTTTTATGTACCTTTTCACATAGTGTGCAGTTAAATTTTTAAGTCTCATATAAAACATTAATATTTGTCTTATGAATTAATTTTACAGCAATTTGAAAAAACGAGTTTATCCAGCTTGTTGGAAGCATCTGTTTCCGCTAAAGGTGCGAATATATTTATATCTTTAATTACTCTTCAAATATATATATATATATATATATACACACAATACTTCAATATCTTTTTTATGTTATTGTAATAAACAAAATTCATAATTCATATTTCATGTCTTATACATTTTTTAGATTCAACTAGTCTGCCAGTCTTGTATCCAGGTAAGAATATTTGAATAATTGTTAATTTAATGTTTTCCACTATTTCCAGTTAAATGAAACAATATTATTAAACAAATTTTTAATATTTTTTTACAAAGTTCATTCAAGCACAGCACCATAGGAGCAAGACGCTAATGCATTAATTCTACGTAATTTTGTTTCTGTTTCAAAATAGGATTCAAACCTGAAATATTACGTCACTGTGAACATGCTCTACGCGAACTTCCTATGGAAGATCTTCGTTTAAAAATGAAAGGGCGATTTTTCTATGACCCAAAGAAGGAAAATATACAAAGTGAACAAAATGTGTATTCATCAAATTCCATACTTTTGCAAAAAAGTAAAAGCAAAATATATTGGGAAGAAGAAGGTCAACAACTTACTTCCATGAAGCAAAATATACAAATGCATCAAAAAATTTGTCAAACTGATGAAGTGGAGACAAATACAAAATTTGTTCAAGCAAGTGTTACTATGGTAGATTTTGAAGTACAAGTATATCCTCAAGATTTACAATATGCTGTTAAAGAAGAAAAAAGACCTATCATGGACCGTTTAGATTGGAATGTGCGTGAAACATTTGATTATACACCTAAATTTCGAGAGGCTGATGACTTAAGATGGAGTTTAAGTAATTCTTCTCAAAAAAGAACTTGGAATAGGACAATATCACCACCTAGAAGGATTGATGACCGTGAACATCGTACAGATTCTGTATCTTCCTTAGATCATGGTTCAAGAAATATGAAATTAGATTCTCCAGTAAGAAACAGGGATAATTTCTCCAGTCATAAAGGATCTTTACGTGACCATTATGTTCGCGAAAGATACTCACCTAATTATAGGCATTCTTTAGAAGAACGTGATGAATTTCATGAAAATAGAAGTGATCATAGTCGTGGTGAAAGTCCAATGATGCTAGAAGATTCTGCAGAAGAAATAGAATTGGAACACACATTCCAAAGAGGAGCAGATTGGCATGGAAGAGGAAAATTATCAAGAGGTAGATCAAGTCCACTTATAAAACATGTGTACAGAGGAAAGCATTCAGGTGGAAGATCATATCGGGGCCGAGGAAATTTTCGTGGAAAATTCTAAAATTATTTGTGTAAAGCACAAATTTAAAATGTAGAATCATGTAATCAAATATATCAATATATCAAGAAAGTTGTAATCTATTCTTGCAAAAATTTGAAGAAAAAAACATGAATTTATTGTTTTATTTAAAAATCAAATTTTTGCATCATATATTAGAATTATTAAAAAAATTATTAAAACGCATTTTAAATACAAATTGAATTTGAATATTATATAATAAACAGTCAAACGTGTATACATGCAAATATTCTTTGCACAAGTACAATAACATTATATTTGAGATGTAAATTATAAAATCATTTGTATGTAACGTTTGTTAAATAAACGTTTCATGGGACAATACAAACAGTGCAAAGAAAACCACTGTTTATAATATCATTGAATTATAAATCAATCAAATGTTAATGTGTGATGTTTATGAATTTCACATATTACATTGTTCATATTTAATTTTGTTCTATTTATTATTACCTATTTTCACAAATATAGCTAAATTATTTAATAATAATCAGTTTTCAAGACTGAGATATCAATGCTTTACTATTTGAATTCTTTTGTTAATAAATTAGAAAAATGATATTTATAAAGGTTTATTACATAGAAAATAAATTTTTAAGAGCATAAAGTGAAATATCACTCTCTAGTAAAAATTACAAAATTTAATCATAACATACATTTAATTTAAATAATTATATAATGAAGTAATTAAATTACTTATAAAATATCAGGTTTAATTATAACATGATGTAATATAATTGTGTACTAAATCAAAAATTAAGTATTTAAAAGTTGTTCCGTATTTTTATTTATCATTTATCATCTTTGTGCGCGCGCGCGTGTGTAACAAGTTTACAATTTCAAACATAATATAGAATTAGTGGTTCTATCATTTAAAAACTATCATCAACTTAAAAATTATTTTATATGTACTCACAGATATGGAAAAAATTAAATACTAAAAAATAATAACGTTATCATTTTCCTTTCAATTATTGTTCTGTTAAGTAAAGACAGTGAAAGATGTTGAGAAAAAGAAATAGTTTTAGGTTAAAATACACATCCTCAACTAACGTTTCAACCTGACACAGTATAATATTCATCTATTAATAATAATCTATTGCATAAAATAAAATTTATAATTTTCAAGAGGAAAGAATAAAGTAATAAGTTTATTTTTATTTCTGCCATTATTCATACTTCAATTAAAACAATAGAGTGTACATTGTACAAACTTTTTGTCTTCAATTTAAATTTAAAACATAAATATTACTATAAATCATAAGTGAAATTATTTTGCCACAAGCATATGTTTATTTATTAATGATGTTTATAAAATATTTATAAAATGTTCAAATGTAAAGTAAATCGTAAAGATTAATAAAAACTTAACCTTCATTTTTTTTAAAATGTATTTCTTGTATGTGATATTACTAATATGGTACTGTAATATATTTATAAGACATAAATTTACATTAATTTTTGTATTCTATGACATTTTTTATAGTAAAAAATATTATTTAATAATAAATATACTAATATTATGTCAACATATGTATTCTTTTAGTTTATTTCATAGTATTTTTTAATTTATTTTATTAATATATTAAAAATATATTAGATTATAAATACTACATTTACTTTATATATGAATTTTTTGTTATTTCCTAATCCAAAATAATGTTGAAAATGAATTTATAAAACAAAAATTTAATGAGAAATAAAAATAACAAAATTAATTATAACAAACATGTTCTACTATAGTAACTTAAAATTATATAAATAAAATAAATAATAATAATTAATATTTACAAATAAAAATTTATTTATTTTTTCAAAGATAACTTTTTTTATAATAAATGTAATTATTTGAATAAATATGTAAACAATTATTGTTTTAATACTATTTATATATGTATAGTTATTTTTAAATACCAATATTTATTTTCAAATACTTATGATTAAAGAAAACAATCTGATATCATAATATAAATATTGTATTTTTTAAAATTATTTAAATCTGTAGTATTAAATACTACATACATAGTTTAATACATAGTATTAAATTAATAATATTTAAATTTAATATTCATATAGTCAATTACATATTATAAACATTGTTATAAAGCTTGGAGTAAAAGAACAAAGTTCTTAAAAATTTTTATTTTTCTTACAATTATTTTGTTCATCATGTAATGTATTAATTCTATAATGTAGCCTATAATATAAGTTTAATGAATAAAGTAATATTTTAATATATAGTATTTTTTTAAGAGAGAAAAGAATATAAATAGATTATTCAAATAACACTAAAAAGTATTTTTAAAATAAAGTTCATAAATTATCTTGGTATCTAAACAGTAATACAAATTTAATTTATTCTTTTTAATGATGATGAATGTATATTCTGCAAAATGGTAGATGAGAAATAGAATAGAAACGATAAAAAAAAAATAAAAAATGGAATGAATTGGAGTTAAAAGAAGCAAAAGAGTAAAAATCAAAGAAGCGGTTAGTCAAGAAAATATAAATGTAGTAGGTAGAGAATAAAATATGAAAAAAGAGGAAAGAGAATTATGAATTTATTTTTCTTTATTTAAATTATTAATAATACAAAATTAAAAGGTTTTTATTTATATGAAAAAAAAATTTAGTATAATTATAAGAACATTACATTATTTATTTGGTTAATGTAGTAGGACATTGAGGTATTGGAATATACATTTTTACTTTGCTTACAAGAAGATATATAAAATATTTATATATCTTTTATTATCATTAATGAATACTTCATCAGAATTTAGAAACTTATCTTTTCGTTTATGATGGTATATTTCCCTATCTTTCAATTTTCAATAAAATCTTTTTTATTTCATGATAGTTTTACATATTAAATTAGAAATATCTTAACTACTATTTCGTAAACATCGAGATACTGAGACACGTCATATCAATATAAGTAATACTTATCAATACAATGCAAACATTGTAATCTTATTTACCATTTTTATACTTTCAAATCTATATTATTCATTTTCTTATTATCCTGTTACAAGTTATTTTATTATGTATTTAATAATTTAATAGTTATCAAATGATTTTGTACAATATAAGAGTTAGATTCAATTATAAAAAGAAGATTTAGAAGAAATATTTGAAAAGGTTTATTTAAATTTAGATTTTTTATTTACTAATTATATTAAAATTAATATTTATAAAAAAAAGAACCTACAATAGATCAATATATCTTTACACAACGATTATTTTCTGTGATACAGATGAAGGTGTAATTTCTACTTCTCAAAATTACACATTTTTGGTCCAGAATAGGGTATTTAATATATGCACACAATATACAGATAATATTAATATTTGCCAAATTGTTGAATGTGCATGAATGTCTGTTGTATTATTACAGGTAACTTACATTTAGCAAAACATATAAATTGAAAAAAAACATTATTATCACCATTCTTATTATATAGAGTTAAACTAACTTTTAAAGGATGTATTTTTTTAAATACACATATAAATTCTAAATTTATTCTGTTTACTTCTTCTTTTTTATTACGATTTTCTATTATTTGTTCTGATATAAGAATTTCTTTTTGCAACATACTTAAACTAGGATTTAAATTGGACTGTGTTTTTCTTTTATGCCATACACAATGAAATCCAATACAATGAAGTATAATTTTGTGTTGTCTTTCTATATGTATATTTGATAGTATTTCGACTTTTTGCTTCTCTGCCCCAATTTCAGCTGTAAGTATTTTAACTTGTATCATAAAAACTTTCTCAAAAATATCTTTTACTAAGTTAAAAACAGTAGTATACCAGTCATTTTCCAAAAATTTAATTTCTTTCATAGGGTCAGCACATACTTCCATACTACTTGATTTATTGACACATTGTAATTGATTTGCAGAAATTGTAATATTACCTTCCTTTTTGTTTTTTATATTTATGGTGAACAAAGTGTTTAGTAGATCTTTATAATTATCTTTACTAGCTGCTGCACAAATTTCTGCACTGATTGCACAGTATCCCACAAAAGATTTTAATGTAGAAACTGATGTGACCATTGTAACATTATGGTTTAACTCTATAGGATCTTGAACACACATTGGCTTACTGATATTTAATTTAAGTTCTTCATTTTCTTTTACTGTTGCTTTATATATATTCATACAAGGTGGTAAATTTTCTATTTCATTAAATTCTGATTTAGTGTGACTTATTCCATCTATTGGACATATTACTTGTGATTTAAATTCGAAAGTAGCATAAAAAAAGAAGAAACCATAAAGAAGTTGTGGAATACTATTTTCATTTGTAGTTGGTAATAATACTGAATATTCATCAAAGTTAACTTGCCACCCATTTGTAATTTGTGGTTGACATGTACTTCGAAGTGTTGACAAAGAAGGGATAATATTAATAAATGGCTGTTGTAAATAAAAAATAATTAACAACATTAAAGCATAATTACATATTTTCTGTCCATGTGAAATTTGTAATTGTCTTGCCCAATATTTGATAAGCATCATTAATGGTTTTAGTCTCTTGTCAAAAGACGCATAATATTTCATTAAATGACTTTTATATAGGCCCAAACTATTCTTGAATGAAATATCACAAGAAATATTTCTTTTACTATAATTAAATTTTATAATAGGAGTCTTAGCTTTTGGAATTGATATTACGTTAGAAAAAACGTGATTCATTCGACGCATAAGATTTTTCACTCTGTTAAAAGTTATATTCATCCTCTGTGCTTTTGCTGTACTTCTAATATTATTTATTGGTGTACCTTAAATATAAACAACATGTAATATTACCATAGAGGAATATAAATTCATATTCTAGAAAGTAATAGCAAAATTTAATAAGAAATATAAAGTCTTACCACTGTCCATATATATATCTAAATCACATTCTTTAAAACCTAATCCTGTTTGAGTTGACCCAAATCTATATATTCTACAATTTGGAAATATCACTTTAAATATTTTATCTAATTCTATACAAGTAGATTCATATCTTGTTTCTATTTCAACATCAGTAAGTTGTACAGTATTTAAAAACATTATTAACTGTTCATCAAATGTACATTTTTCTTCAAATATATGTTTTATATTTTGATAATCTATAGAACTTGTATTTACTAATTTCATATTTACTAACTCTATAATAAAATATTTATAATTAAAAAATACTGCATATACTTTCCATGTAAATAAAACAAAATGCTATCTTTATAATACTTACTATTAGGAACTTTTCTTTTTTCTACATTCAGTTCCACATCATTTATCGAAACTTGTTTATTCAATAAAATTTCTGCAGCAGTCCTGTAATATTAAATAATCATAATTATAATTTTGTGTAATAATTATAATTAATCTATATTGGTACAAAGTACCGTAAAAAGAAATATGATTTAATAATAATATCAATGTTAAATATAATTTACCTTTCATAAAACTCAACTAAAAGGTGGTTGCTATAAAATCGATGCCATTTGATTGTACCATATTGATTAAGAAACTTAAGAAGTTTACAACCACTAATAAATTTTGGTAATGGTTTAATAACAATTGAGTTTACCAAATTTTGTTCAAATTTTAAATGTTTCTTGCCTGTAAGGTGACTTTTGAAGGCAGATTCATTTTCAAAATTCTTTAAACATATATCACAATGTTTTGACATTATTGATGATGTGCTTAAGTCATATAAGGTATTTTTAATAAAGAAATGTTTAATTAAAAAATTAATAATTTAGACAAACATAGTTATTATATTTCAAAATATTTTTTACTTTAATAAACTGATATTAACTTTTCTTAAAAAAATACTGACTATTATACAATTTTTTATTACAAGGTAAATAAAATTCTTTTTATTTTATACAGAAAGTTCACTTTTTATTTCATATTTTTTCACTTTCACTTTTATAAATTTTAATGTCGCTGATCATTTTTTCGTTTTATTCGTTACCTGAGTTAAATATTCTTGTTCTTTAATATTTACTTTTTTCAAAAATATTTGTTATTATATTTTTAAGCTGTTTGTACATGTATATTTAATATAATATACTATTCATTATTTATATTCCTCTGTAAATATATTTTTCTCCTAAATCAGATATTGTGTGTTTGAATCTGTAAATAATGCAAACAATGAAATAATTCAAATTTCATAAATTATCGGATATTAGTCTGAACTCATTTATAAAAACAATTGCATAAACTTATAACAATTATAAAAATTAAATATAGAATACATTAGATGTGATGATGTATAAATGCAGAATTAACATCTACACTGGCAAGTATACAACATTCCAACCTAACTTAAAGTTTGTTTTCGTTGCTTGTAATTTCTATGCTTTTACGTCTTTGTTGCCGAATGTTAGCGGAAATGACGTTTATGTGTAGTTGTTTTTATAAATATAGTACATCAAAGCACTTTTAACTTTTTAATAATTTATAGAATTGTATTTGTAATTTTATTATAAAAGTGTATAAATTTATACTAGCTGAAACGCACGTAAAATAAAAATAGAATTTAAATTAATATTTAACCCTAGTAATAATTTTACGAATAGGGAAAGTAAGACAATAAAATATTATTCTAAATATATTCATTTGTTCGTTTTATCATTATATATATTTTATTAATTATAAAATTTTATTTTATTATTTTATGTTCTAATATTTGTAAGATTTAATTTTGATAAAAGATTTTAGATATACTACTTCTAAATATAATTATTTAAAGATAATTAATGTAAAATGGTAATTTAATAATAGCAAAGATCATATAACATTTTCATTGAACATTATTATCAATTAAAGAAGATAATTGACTAACTAATGAATATACATAACTATGAAAAAAAACTAATATGAAAGTAAATATATTTGAATGAAAATACATAACAATTACTATAAATTTAAATGCACATATACTTTTATGAAAATAGAAATATAATATATAAATATATAAGAAATATATATAAATATATTAGTATATTAATAGTACAACTTATAAGGTTATTATACATTTATGTTTTCATTTATTTAATGCAAAGGAAGTAATAAAATATTCTTGTAAAACTTTGTCTTGCAACAAAACAGTTTTATAAGATCTCCATAACATATGCAGAATTCTCTTATTCCATATGAGTTTACTTGATTTTTTCTTTATTTTATGAGCTAAAATGAACATTGATATTAGAGTTATTTTAATATTATTATATAATAATCAATAATTTATTGTAATGTATCTTACTTAACAGAAACATTCTTATAATGTATCTTGTAATCCTTTCATTGCTATTTTTAATAACTTTTAGTATATTTTGAATACTTCCTGGGATGTAATGAAATAACTCTTTTATCAAAATGCAAGCACGTTTTGCTTGTAATAAACATATTCTTTTTAATATTATTAATATGGTTTTTTCAGAATTAATTGCTTTATCTAAAATAAATTTTGATAATTTCAAAGATGCTATATTATATAATCGGCGTTCTAAAACTCTGGAAGAAAGTAGCAATTAAAATTTACATGAAATAAGAAAAAAAGAGAAAAGGACAATGTATATATATATATGTGCGTGTATATATATATAAAATATATATTTTTTATATTCGTGCATATATACATATTTGTCAGTGCATACATATACAGTTGCTTACTTTAGGGGGTTTCCATTATTTATCCCAAAAAATGACACTAAATAATACAAATCTGTACTTGGATGTACAGGTATTATTTCTAAAGAAGTACAATTAATCTTATAACCAATGTAAGTTATACTGTTCACAGCTTTGTTTCCATCACAAACTACATTAGTTTGAGTTTTTGATTGTTTAAAGTAACAATTATATTGTGGAATTCCTTTTTTTGTTAATTGTAAAAATCTATCTCATAAAAATTATAATAGAGTAATTAACAAAATAGAATATGTTTATAAATTTCTTAATGAACTAATTAATGGTTTTATATCTTACTGTTTTGCCAAAATTTCATTTTCAGTTACATATAAAATATCATCCATGTATTTTATAATTTCACCAGCTTTTAAATATGTTGCCATTTCTTCATGTAATATAAAATTATAATATATATCTGATAAAATAGGTGATAACATTGACCCTTGAACAATTCCTTTTCCTATGATATAAGACTTTACATTTATTTTTACCTATAAATAAAAATATGATGCATTGCAAAATCAGATATTAATTCTATATATAGTATTTATAACATTTTAAAAATATATATTTAAAAATTTTTTTTTATACTTTCTGATAAAAAATGTATTTTGAAATTTTCTCTAGTAACCAGCTTTTCTTTATCCATTGACACTGATTATAATTTGTATGTGTATATAATGCATCAGATGCCAAAGGTAATTGCAAATTTGGATCAGAGAAATATTGTTTGTAACATATAATTTCACTTCTGAATTTTTCACTTTTAATTACATAGTATTTGAGTATTAAAAATTCAGGTAGGTCCTTACAAAGTGATTGTATAATGTTATATAATTTTTCTAAATACAAAATAAAAAATGTAATATTTACTTGCAAATATATCTATTAGTTAAAATTGAAAATAATTATACCTTGTATTATAGAACCAAAAGCATTCATTACATCACAACATATAAAATATAATTTTGTTGGTTTTGTATCATATTTATGCTGGACAATTGATTCCCACTTTGTTGGGAAGTTAGTGATTCCATATTTTGTATTATGTAATTGTTTCAAAAATTTCAATATTGTATACTCATGAATTTTATTATTATCATTATCTCTAATATGCAAAACATTAAAATGAAATATAAACATATAAAATAAATATACAAAATACATGAAAAATTTTAAGTAATTAATTTTTTAAAATATGAAATACTTACTCTGGTTTAAATATAGGTCGCACATCAGAATATTTAGGAAATAATTTGTATGTGCCTATTGGTGGATTCCACTCATTACATTTAACATCAGGTTGCAAGATATTCGAATGCTTTGCTTTCTTAATAAATTTTTGTTTAACAGACCTCCAAGTTGAACGCATAATATATAATCTTTTATTATTATTTCTAGAAGCTGTTATATGAAAACAAGTACGTAATATTCTAAAAATAAATCCAACAAAAAACCATCTTGCAAATTTGGCCATAATAAACCATTTTATCCTTATGCTTTTAATATTTTGTAACCATGTAATGCTAAAAATCTAAAATATTTTTATTTTTAATGTATAAATCTATGTTTACAGTATATTACTTAGCATAACTGGTTTTATTAAAAAAATATAATTACATACATCTAAGTTATTAATAAAAGGCTTCAAATTAAAGGCTTTAAAACTTGGTGCATCTAGCAGACAGAAAATAGTTGTCTTTATCTTTTTTAAATTTTTAAATTTTCCAAACATCTTTAGAGGAACTACTTTAGAAAGTATAAGATCAAAAAATAAACATAACTGTTTTTTATTAACTGCATATTTGCATTCTGATTTTTTATCATTTTCTTTTTTATCATTTGTTTTTTCATTGTTTTCTTTTAAATCATTTTCTTTTTTATTGATTAAATGCCTTAAAACACTAAAGTAATGGAATTTTTGATGTTTCTTCTTAAATTGGTCTAATAATGGAGAAATCATTGGAACAGAGTCTTCATAATTATTGATAATAAAATCTTCCATAGTTTCATTTATAATAAAATTATATATTTCATTTCCTGTTTTGTCTGAGTCAAGAATAGTTTTCATTGAACTACCAGGACTCGATAAACTTGAAGATGTATTAAATAAATAAATATTTAATTCTGACTTGATAAAAGACAAATTATCATATCTAACTTCTTCATGAAACTTCTTTTTTTTTGTTTTGATCTTATGTCCATCATTTAATCCTAAAATAATAATTGAATCATTTGAATTTATATAAGTTAAAATATATTTACTAATATAAACCATATAAAAGTGTTAAAACTTATTTTATATATTATAAATATGTAAAAAAGAATAATTTGAAAACATCATACTTGATACATCATGTTTATCATCTAAACTATTTTTAGACGAGGTACATTTCTGCATTATTTTTAATTGGTTATTTATTTTAATTTTAAAATATTCAAGAGCACATATACATTCTATTAAAGTATCAATATTAGGTACCATAAAAGCACCGCATTTATCTCTTTTAAGTAATATTTTACGACGTAAACAAAACCTAATTAAAAAAAGAAAATTGAATGTATTAAAATGTAAATAAATAATTAAAATAATAATAAATTAAAAAGATACGAACTTCTGAAAATCTATTCCAAAAACTTCTTTAACATTTAAAGCAGTAAGATCATCCATTGTTTATGTTTTATGATGATACTTTCAATATATTCAGTATATTCAAATAGTACTCTTTCATATAAGGACATAAATATTAAATAATGGTGTAAAAATTACTTGATTAAGAGAAAACATTTGCATAGTGCGTTAAATTTTTATATAATATATTAAAATTACCGAACCAATTTACATTTTACTTTTTAAGAATTTATAAATATTAATATTACGTATAAAAAAATTGCTATAGGACTAGTCACGTGATTATAGGCGCGCAAATTTATTAAATCACGTGTAAAAATTTTATATTCAAATTTATTGTAATAAACTGTACAGAAATTCATATTTAATATTCATTAAATATAGATTTAATGCCAAAAATTATATTTCTTATAACAATGTGTAAATTTTATTTAAATAATATCAGGTATAAATTTTACAAAACATAATTGATCGACATAGATTTTTACAACTAAAACTTTTAATGATAATGTTCATTTGCTTTCTTATATAATCTTTAAATTGTTTTTTAACATTTATTAAAAAATAAAAAGATTTTTTACATACATTGATATTGCATATTATAAACTAATTTTATTTATTTATTGATAAATTACTTTTTTAAATCAATGTAAATTTACTGAATTATGTTGTTAGATATTATATTGACAGATAGAGTATTACATCAATAACACTCTATTATAAGTATATACACTTTATTAATGTATGGTGTGTACGTGCGCGCGTGTGTGTATATAATATATATATAATTATAGTTTGAAATCTATAAAGCTTGTTAAAATTTCCTTAAAAGATAAGTCTCCGTTAAAAGAATAGTTAAAAGTTTATTTGTATACAGAAACATTTGGATCAAAACTTTTTATTTATATTAATACTTCTAGTACAACCTAGTGTGTAGTATCATATATGTGAGTATATTTTAAATACGAATATATGTAAAGAAATTTAAATTTATATAATTTTGATATACTAATTAGTAATTACAAATATAAAAATGAGTGAAAGAGCAAATATGACATTGTAACATACATATTTAAAAATTATTTAGAAGCTTTAATTCACATTACATATCAAGTTGGTAAACCTGGGTACGAACAAAAACCACATGGAAAAGGTGAAAGTATTAAGGGATAGTGGAGAACGACAGATCTGAAGCGCCACAAAACGGAGATGCGGACATTTCACAAAACACTCGGCATGGATCGAGCTCCATGTTCGCCCGTGAAAGTGATGCGGTATCTCCGCGATTAGGGGATACAAATCTCGTGTCTAGTGGGAGGACGTTAAAGAGTTTGTATACGTTACTTTGTGAGTCGGTATTTGCAATCAGTTGTTTTGAGGGTGATAAAGTTACTTTAAGGGTGTGTAATCCTGATGCGTGTCAGAAAGTAGCGTGGCGAAACGATTTTTGGTCTCGTCTCAGTGCACGAAGAAATTTTCATAAAAACCGATTGCAACAACACAAAGCAATAAAGTTTTATCAGAAAAACATATCGAAAACAACAACAGGAAGGACAACATTAAAAACAAAGACGAAAATAATAACATTAAAAGTGGTGGTGGCGACAGCAACAGTGACGGCGACGACAGCGGTGGCGCAAGGTGTGAGGACGAGGTGAATGCACGGCGGCCGCGGTGTGTGCCAGTGGTGTGCGCGCTCGTCGCTCGTGGAAACCCGCCAAAACCCGCGGCCGCGAACAACCACCAGCAAGAGCAGCAACAATAGCAACAACAACAGCAGTAGAAGGAAAAGAAGGAGGAGGAGGAGAAGGAGGAGAAGGAGGAGAAGGTGGAACAGCATTAGCAGTAGTAGTAGTAGTAGTGGTAGCAGTAGCAGCAGCAGCAGCAGGAGCAGAAGCAGCGGTAGCGCGCGACGTTGTACTGTTTTAACAACTTTCCGCCGCGTCGGGGCGTCGCGCCGTTTTTCTCGCGGCGGCGGCGGCAGCAACGGCAGAAACAACAACAGCAACGGGATCAGTTTGTTTTAAGAAGGTCGTTCGTGACGGCGGTAACGACTGCGACGCTGCTGACTCCCCAACCCACACGACGACGACGACGGCGGTGGCGACGACGACGGTGGTGGCGGTTGCGTTCTGTTATTATTTTGCCGCGGTGCTTTTGACCCTACAAATCGGGCGAGTTCATTGCAGCGCTTTCGCGGGGGTGTCAGCCAGTTTTATTACTCCGGCCTTCTCCGTCCGCAGCAGCAGCGCCGACGGCGCCAGAACACGACGTGGTATATGCAGCATGTCTACTAGTGTATGTACTCGATCACACCAATAATCCAGGCACGTTGAAACGCCTATTCATAGGGTGAGAAGTCATCGACAAGCTCTGAACACTGACTTAGTGTACATCTTGAGCGAGTCAACCGAAAAGAACTATATCAGTGACGTTGCGACTGAGAAAGGACGCGTCGAACCACGTGATATACCTGTCGTCGGGCCGCGTCATGCAAAGCATGTTCGACTTCCCGATGGCCATAACCTGAATTGAGCCGATTTGACCCGATTAAACCCGATTCAACGTATTCGCAGTTGAACGAACAAGCAAACGAACGAATGAAAGAAAACAAACGGTAGCCATTGACTTTTTTCGCCTTTCCTCGTGCTTGCGCGTTATTCTCTGGTGTTCTGTGCTTAATAAAGAACACGCTACCGCTTCTTGCGATAAAAGCGTGAATGTTCGCTTGTGAATCAGAGGTGTATATTTACTTAATGTGAAAAGACAGTAAAAATTTAACCAAGAAAAGGGTCAGCCTGCCTGCTTGTAACAGGTGACTAAGTGAACAAATGGACAGATTGATCGTGATACGCATGCTGTTTCTCGTTCTTTCGATGTTCTCTCATAACGGTGATAACTTGAAATAATCGTGCTATGGTGTACTGTGCACATAGTGTCATTGATACTGTGTCGGTATAGTGTCAACCGTTACGTGTAATTGTCTGAAGGTGGTGGCGTGGGAGTCCGACATTTTAACCGCTCGTATTCACGAAAAGATACAAGTGTCCACGTGTGAAATATAGTCGGCATTTCAGGGGCGTGAGAATCATACGCCGAGCTTATTTCAAGATTTTTAGTGTCTTCTCTGATAGGACTTTTATCATGCGTGCGGTTAATATTTGATTTCATGGTCACGATCTGTTTATTTTTCCATTATCGTGACCACACTGTTGATTACCAAAGAAAAAGGTGTCAAGCACGTTTTTTACAGCGATTGGAGAATTTTAAAAAAGAGTAAACGATGAAAATTATGTGATTTCGTTGAATAACAAGAAGAAGGAAATTAAAATTTTTAGAAGACAGTGCATGTACTGACAAATTAACGATATTGTTAAAAAATATCCGTATTTTGTACTTTTTAGTGAAGTGTTTGACAGTATTTGATCAAGTGTATAACAATGAAAAATACCTGGTGAGTTAAAATTTTAATATATAAAATCTACTTCAAAATATATAATTATTTGTTCTTGCAATACACATATCTTAATAAGTTCGAGACAAAGAAAACAGAATGCAGGGGGGAGGGGCAGTAGTAGAAACGAAAGGAGTATATTTTCCATTTTAATTTTACATTGACGTTGTTAACAAAAATATTTGTAAACGGAAGAAAATTACTTTATTTTGTTTTTAATTTTTAAGACTTTGGCTTTTAAATCGTGAAAATATATCGTGTATTCTGAAATGCCTATATTGCAACAAAAAGGTAAATGTATTAAAAATAGTGTATCATAGATTTTATAATTTTTGTTGTGCTTGTATTAATTCATTTGTTTCAATCAATTGTTTAAATTTATTTGGCTGCTTTTTTTTTGTTTAGAAATTTACAATTTTATAATTGTTGTGATTGTGTAAAAATAAATGAGTGTTTCTAGGTTAGGTTACTGATCGTTACTACTTAACCTCAAATATAGTCAATTATTTCATTTCTTTTTTTTTTTTCATTCTGTCGTAGGTTTATTGTTTTTAATTAAGAATAGATAAAGAAAAGAAAAAAAAAAAATTGAAGAAAACGAATTTGATTGATTGTGTAAATAATTGTGTATCGGTTATTTAAAATCTAAAAATTAAAGTTATAGATTCTAAAGGAGTACTCATACATATATTATATGTGACTTATAAACATAATAAATCTAGCCTAATTATCATAAAACCTATTATGTAATTAATATTTAGATTTGTTAAGTTTAGTTATTATTTATGAAGTAGTCTTTGGTATCAAAAAGAGAAAGATAAAAATTGAATGGGTATGTTCAAAGTTATTATTTCGTTAGCAAGTTGACATGTTTCAAATGAAATTATATGCCTGAAATAATTATATTAGAAAACATTAATATTTTAAATTGTATTACATGTAACAATAATTTGATTTTTAAAAATGAAAACAATATTATAATGTTTTATCACTTATGTCTTATTAAATTAACGAATAATTAAACTCGATCATTAATTTTTTGATCAGTTTAATTAAATTTTAATATTTTATTGAAATATTTTATATGTGTATATAATGTACTATATAAATCTTTTTTCATGTTAGTGATATTTTTGTTACTTTTAATTTTAAATTATTCATACTATGAAGTTTTCAATTTTGTATTCTTTTTATCTTTTTTTATATTATACATTTTAAACTATCATATATTTAAAGAAGAGAAAGTATAATATAAAGTATATGAAATATCTCTAAGTTTTTTAAATCATTGTTATTTTTAACACTTTTGAGACAATAAAAAGAGGGTAAAGTGGAAAGACTAATATTTATAAATTTTAAACAGAAATTATAAAATTTGGGAAAATTTGTGTAATTAGAATTTCTTAAGATATTCATAAAAATAGTATTAGTACATTTTATATTTTTTTTAACTTCTAACTATTTTGGTTTTAATTGTTGTCTATTCTATTTTTTTCTTTATGTATTATATTAACTGTTTTTATAATGTATTATAACACATATAGACATTAATGAAATTAGTTAAATTTTTCATATTTTGAATATT